CGTTTGGTAGTTGAAACTGTCGAACTATTCGACTAAGTCAAGACTTAGTCGACTAGTTTTGGTGAAACTGCAATCTGACTTATTCAACTAGTTCTGGATTTATTCAACTAAGTCAGAATAGAAGTTCAGAGATTTATTCGAATAGTTTTCAACTTATTCGAATAGTTTGCTGAAAAAAATGTGTTTTAAAGGTAGGATGATAAGGGAATGAACCTTAGAGATGCCATACTCTTTAACACATAATCTAAGACCTAAAACATTACCCAACTAAGGAAACAACCTCTTCGGTCTCGTTCCTTCCACTGATGCTCAAGTCCCTTTTTCACGGACGGATATGAACTTGTTGTAGCTTTGATTCTTAGCCTTGATGCACAATATGATGATGATGTTTTGTCACCCTTTTTTCATTATCAAAACCTAAAAGACAATGGGAAAAGGACATTGCAAATCTATATATTCATGATAGCACATTGTCCAACAATTTCCCCCTTTTTGATAATGACAAACCCATTAGGAGATATGCATCATACAAGGCTAGTTCACCCTCAAGTATTGCATCATAAATCAAACAAAGACATACAAATTTATACTATCTTCCTCATTAAGATATGCACAAATACAATTCCCCCTGAATATATGCATATCTACACCATCTCCCCCCTTTTGACATTATCAAAAAGAGATGGGCAAAAAGATATATGCTCATGCAAATAGATATGAAACAAACAAATAATATCACATTGTCCAACTAAAATATAAATAAATATTAGTTGGAATTAATAAAGTGAATCAACTTCCCCCTTAATTGATGCTTCACCCAATTATATGTGCTTGGCGCATCTACCTCAACTCAAGTCGAAGTGTTCAAGCACACCTTCCTTAATGAATCTACGAAGCAAATCTTGGTACCCAATGCCTTTTGGGTCCAGGGATGTTATGGCAATAATAAAAATCATATGAATGATGCATCACATTATCTTGACTTAGAAGCAAGTGCCTATACTTAGTGTAACAAACTGGTGTGATGTGTCCTACTTTATTACAATAATGACACCTAACACTAGGGTTGTTCATGTTTCTAGGACGTGTGATGTACTTTCTAGGTTGTCTTTCAAACTTAGAATTCCTAGAATGACTTAGGGGGTGTTTGTTTTTTCTGCAGGAAAAGGTCTGCGGTCTACGGACCACTACTGTAGACATCTGCAGGAGAAGTGGTGGACTGAAGGTCTGCGGTCTGCTAGAAGAAGACTGTTTGTTTTTTTAATGTCTGTAGACTGCTATATAAATTAATGGTGGTAGTGTACGATGGTGGTATATGGACGATTGTGGTGGTGGTGGACGTTGACGGAGGTGGTGGTGGACGGTGGTGGTGGTGGCGGTGGATGGTGGCGGTGGTGGTGGACGACGATGGTGATGGAC